TTGAGTCTCAGTACCAGCAGGGATTGTAGGTGGGGGGAGTGAATGTACTGAGCTCTCTTCCACCTTCAATACAATGATTGAGGTGAGACCCCAGAGCAAGGCACTGATGGTGGTGCTGCAGCAAAAATGGCTGCCCACTGCTCCGGGTGTGTGTTCACGGTGTGTGTTTATTCACTACTCACTGCTGTGTGTGTGCACTTGGATGGGTGTAATGCAGAGCACGAATACAGAGTATAGCACACCATACTTCTCTACACGTCACGTCACAAATATTTATCACACAACATTGTTAATGTGTTAATGCTGAAATATACTACTACCGATTTACAGTCTGGACCAGTCGATGCTCCACAAATACATGCATTATCCAGTGCACAGTAAGCAATCTGTGGATCGGTTTTGCACAGTGTAATGTTACAAGTTACTAAGTTGAAAGTACTTATTTATAATACTTACTTTGTATTTAATGAGCAAACTTTGTGTTGTTTCTCCTGTCTGTTCCTCAAACCACATATAATAAATGTTAACGTTATATTTGTGCAACACCCCAAAGGGAGGTAAAACATTCATTTGCATATTATTGAATGAGAATCCACAGCATACTGTATGAATTCCAATAACCTGTTCCAATGGGACTTTAGGGAAGTTGATATCTGAAATGCTTGCTTCCTCTGAGCCATTGTGATTATTTAAACTCTGTTTATGACAGGCCAAGGGTTGCGCGAAGTTATTTGACTTCAGGTATGTAACTCATTTGATTCTGTATTCTCCAAATGTTTCATTTATTTCTGAGTCCTTCTAGTTCAAGTACTTCCACTGTTTTTATCACTCGACATGGAAACAAAATATATTCCTATCCTATATGAATGACTGGGGTGAAATTGCACTTTTATAGGAATAGTTCACTCAGAAACAAAAATGTACTCACCCTCAGGCCATCCAGGACGTAGATAAGTTTGTTTTGTCATGGGAACAGATTTGGAGAAATGTAGCATTGCATCACTTGCTCAGCAATGGATCCTCTGCAGTGAATGGGTGCCGTCAGAATGATACTGTGATGATAAAAACATCACAATAATCCACAAGTAATCCACACCACTCCAGTCCATCAGTTAATGTCTCGTGTTTGTAATAAACAAATCCATCAAGACATTTTAATGTTAAACTGCTGCTTTCAGCTTAAATACGAGTCCATGTCTATAATAACACTTTCTTCTTTTTTCATTGTTTTCATCAGCTGATGGCAAATATTAAGCAAAATATTTGGTTTTAGTTACACCGTAAGGCATGATTTGAATCAGCTTTTTGTGATATATTGTTCATGCTTTGTTGTTGTTGTATGCTTTGTATGTCATTTTGCAACTCTTATGTTAACAAAAGAATGTGCCAGTGTTGTTTGCGTGCTCATGGACA